TTCCTTTTTGCGTTGCGCGCCGTTGCTCGCGCGCAACGTAACAATTGATATATCTGACCATTGAACCTTATAAAACAAATCGGGAGCAATTTTTTGGTACCATAATATCTTTGTAAAAAGATCATTTACTATCTATTTTGCAGATAAATATAATGTTTGCGACTGGACCAATTTTAGGGGTATACTTCCGAAAGGACCCCCACCCTAGGACAACCAAACTTCGGATTTATAGTAATTGAGGGACAAGAAATCGAATGAGACCATTTTCAGAACTGGCAAATAAACCGTTCTCGAGATGTACAGGGTATTCTAAAAGTGTGGGACCCCCTATTACATATCCAGCTTTTACTGTATCTCAATGAGAACGCATTTCCACGGAAAATGACTAAAACAAAAGTTGTAGGGATCGTAAAGTATTATCTTGTAGTGACCTTGAACTTAACCTTGCAGGTTAGGGTTAAGGTTAGGGTTAGGTTAGGTGAGGTTAGGTTTAGATTAGGCGTAAGGCGCCTGGTGGGTGTACAGTAGAAGCTGGATATATGCAACGAAAGATTGGCTGGATATATGCAACATCACTATCCCCACCACTTGGGGGGATCCCCCTAAGCGAACCGAGACGCTCGATAAGGAAGCCGTGTAAAGCCGAGTATCCACCTGTATCAAACGCCCGTATCGTATCACCGTTCCGAACCCTTTTGAATAGGCAGACGTTGCCTCGTTGCATGCCACGGCGTGCTACGGCTCGGACAATATTTCTTCGTTTCTTGAAAGAAACTCCTATAGGCGAGAAGTTTCGATTTCCTGCATGCTGTTTCTTTATTGTAATTGTCCTAACCATATCGTGTTTGGTATCATTTTAATCAGAAAAACGTCACAAATATCTTGGTAAAAGTTTTATAAGAAAAAAATGAAAAATAACAAAGTTCAGTCATTGCATTAGTATTATCTCACTGATATATCCGATTCCAGATCATATTATCTCGAGCCTCAAGTGTCATGTTTCCACTTGACATAGCATTTCGGGCCTTCGCCTGGGTATGTTGTTTTTACGTTTCAAGTGGTCTCCGAACCTATCCTTTGAACAGCAAGAAACCGACAATTTTCGGATCGGCCCGTTCCTTCACCTCCGTATCACAGCCCAATAGAACTTTCGATATTCGGCAACGGAAAAATCTCTGGATAATTAACATTGTCCTTTTTAAATAATCACAGAGGTTCTTATTAACATTGCTCTTTTATGTACAGCGTATCACCGAAGATAATTGATCTGTTTAAATATATTTAGACGATAAAATTTGTCTAAATTAAATTAGATTAAGTTCATAAATAATTTCATCGATTTTGAAATGAATCCAATAATACCGCAAGATTTCAAATAAATTGAAACCCAAGTGACGGCACGAAACGCTATGTCAAGTGCAAATGCATAAACCTTTCCTTCGATGCAACGGCAAAGAATCAATTTTTTCGGATGGGTCCGTTGCCTCCGTTCCTTTGGAACGGCACGCAGCAAAACGATACTCCTCGCCTGTAGTGGCCCAGTCCTATTGCCGAACCGTTTCTATCAAGAAACGAAGAAATATTGTCCGAGCCGTAGCACGCTGTGGCATGCAACAAGGCAACGTCTGCCTAGGCTGGTGAAGACACGGCCCGATCACCCGTTGAGCAGGAGCTCCGGTGCCGGTCGTGGTTGAAGAAGAAGCCCTGTCTTCGCATTGCAAGCAGGCGGAAGTCATGGCGCGATCACCCGTTGAGCAGGGGCTCCGGTTCCTGATCGTGGCCGAAGAGAAAGTTTCCTGGCCTCGCTAATGGCAGGCAGGTGAAGTAGGGGCGCGATCACCCGTTGAGCAGGAGCTCCGGTTCCTGGTCGTGGCCGAAGAGAAAGCTCCCTGACCTCGCTTATGGCAGGCTGGTGAAGACACGGCCCGATCACCCGATGAGTGGGAAAGTCCTCCGGTGCCGATCGGGTTGCAGAAAAATGGCCTGTCCTCGTGGTAGGACAGGTGGGCGTGATGACTGCTAGGAAAAGCCACATCTTCATTATCAACCTACCATGGTGGACGAAGATTGGGGCGATCAACCGGGAGATACGAAGTCCCGGGTCCTGATCGTGACCGAAGAAAAAGTCCTGTCCTGGCAAGTGCCAGGCAGGCTGAACACACGGCCCGATCACCCGATGAGTGGGAAAGTCCTCCGGTGCCGATCGTGGTTGAAGAAAAATGGCCTGTCCTCGTGGAAGGACAGGTGGGCGTGATGACTGCAAGGAAAAGCCACATCTTCATTATCAACCTACCATGGTGGACGAAGATTGGGGCGATCAACCGGGAGATACGAAGTCCCGGGTCCTGATCGTGACCGAAGAGAAAGTTCCTGGCCTTGCTAATGGCAGGCAGGTGAAGTAGGGGCGCGATCACCCGTTGAGTGGGAATCCTCCGGTTCCTGATCGTGGCCGAAGAAAAATCCTGTGCTTTCTTGTACAGGTTGAAACATCCTACCGCTAGATCGGAGGTGTGACGGCGTGGATCCTCAACCCCCCGTGGTTGCCTAGCGCACGGCGGATTGAGGTGAGACGAAAGCGCAAATGTAAGCTAGGGAGCAGAACCGCCGTTGCGGCTATCGTCGGTACATCTGGGATATCCCCAAAGGATGAAAGGGTACCGACGGCCTACGTTAGGGAAGAGGTTTTTAGTGGGTAGTATATCAGGCCGCGGACGCCCCTTCTGGGCGCCGCTGGGTCGCCCCTTCTGGGCTGTGACCCTTTTCCTTTGTGCCCGCCCTTCAGGGTTGGGCTGTCAGGTTGCCCCTTCTGGGTTGCCTCTTTGGGTTTGCCCCCACTAAATGGGCGCCAGTTCCCCCCTTCAGGGGATATGAGTCCCACACTGCCCGGGCCCCCTCTAGCCGAATAGACGAACAGGGGATAACCTGCGCGTGCGTAAATGCATTTTCCTCTTCTGTCAACCAAAAAAAAAAAAAAAAAAAAAAAAAACATCTGCCTATTCAAAAGGGTTCGAAACGGTGATACGATACGGGCGTTGGATACAGGTGGATACTCGGCTTAATACGATCCGAACCGTTATATCGGTGTGACTAATACTAATTCAACGATGAATCTTTTTTATTTTTAACTTTTTTTAATGAAACTTTTACTAACGCATTTGTGAGATTTTTCTGATTAAAATGATACCAAACACGATATAGTTTGAATTATATTCATTTATTTATTTATTTATTCTGAATATGCTGCTGAACTATTGACAGCAAATTAAGTGCTTTATGATGTTAGGGACAGCCCGTGATTTCCATGAAACCGGACAGTTTCTTCCTATTGAAAATTAAAGTAATTTCCAAGCTAACAGTAGTAACAGAATGATAATAGAATAAATAAACAATAATAATAGAATAAACAACATAGAATTGACACTTCGGCTACATATGTATAAGGCAGGCCGTACACTAAAGATGCATCAAGCACGCAACATGCAACATGCGACGTAATGTAAATGTTGCATGTTGCATGTTTGATGCATCGTACGGCCTGCCTAAATGATGTGTTCGAACGTAGAATATGTATCGCGGCTGAATACAAACGATGTGTACGGACGGAGAATCGACACCTCGACTGGATATATGAAACATTAAATGCCCAGAATCAACACCTCGGCTGGATATATGCAACGTTTGAAAGCAGAACCGACACCGCGACCGGTTTTCATTTCCAACCCTCCTTTGCTTTTCGCCAACTTTTAACATCAATTTTAGCAAGTAATTGTAATTGAAACTATATCGTGTTTGGTACCACTTTAATCACAAAAATCTCACCAATGCGCTAGTAAAAATTTCATTAAAAAAAAGTCAAAAATAAAAAAGTTTTTTGATTCAATTAGTTTAGTCACACCGATACGTTTCGGCTCTTTCCTTTGATCATCGGACCTCTCTCTTTCCGCCACTGTCTGTCCCTTTCTACGTTCACACTTGGCTGGTCGTCGCGCGTAACCCGAGACTCGACACCTCGGCTGGATAATGCAACGTCTGGGTCCCAATGTTTTCCAGCGGTTTTTGAATGCCATTAAATAGGGAAAATATGGCAAAAACTACTTTTTCTTTCTTACCCTGTAACTACCCTCCCGGTTGAGGTACAGGGTTGAAACTTGGTGTACCATGGTTTTTTGGGATATACTATCGAATGGTGCATTGCGAAGCAAATTCGGCTCAAGGGCACTTTTGACCATCTTATCCTGCTATACCCTTTGAAAACAATTTAAATGAAACTTACCCATTCGTTCCTAAATTAACCTGCTATGCTAAAAGCAGATAATTCATACTGTGTCGATCCTGAACATTCGAAGAGGGAACAATAGTTTAATCTCAAATAGTTTAAGAATGGCAGCGTTCTAAAGAGTAACTGCTGGCATGTCAAAAACGCGCTTACTGCCGATGGGTTGCGTTTTTCTGAAAACGGTATTTCTCAAATTTGCTGCAGCTCTAACTCGAATACAAATTATTGCATCGACTCGAAACTTTTTCAACGTGTTCAGTACATCCCAGATAGCACAGAAACATCGTTAAAACATCTTAAAGATATCTGTTCAAGATATTGAGGATATCTTATGAATATCCGAAAGGTCCTGCGAATGCCTGAAATACGTCCTGTAAATATCCTATGTGAGAAAACAGGTTGTCTTAAAGATGTCGTACAAACGTCACAGAAACGCCCTTAAAACATCTTAAAGATATCTGTTTCAGATATTGAGGATATCTTACGAATATCTGAAAAGTCCTACGAATGACTGAAATACGTCCTGTAAATATCCTATGTTAGAAAACGGGATGTCTTAAAGATGTCCTACCGATATCCGACAGATGTCTTACAGACGTTTTAAAATTGTCTTATGAATGCCCTAAAGATATCTTATATATACCCTACAGATGTCATAAATATGGTTTAATGAAAGTATAATCGTTTTCAGTATAATAATATTTTATTTAAACGTAGTCCGTTGATAATATACAATGTTCGTTCAAAATTGTTTTGGGGTTACATGATTTCTGTCAAACGCTCTCCTCAGCCAATTTTGAATTGAGACCTCCGTTGTCCTTTTACTATCCCCAAGGTTTGCCGTTTCAGCAGCAGCTAAAATAAGAATTTGTACATGTTCAATTATACAGAAATCATCGTTGGAAACATTAAAAACAAGGCGATACTTACATATCACCAACCTAGCTAAATGCAAGGTGCAGAACACTTTTTTGCCCTTTCTTCCTAGCCAACTGTATTTCAGCGCTAAGCTGTTGTCTATAATGGAGGACAACACCCTTTTGACAAATTGATAGTTATTGTCCCCCCCTGTTTTGGCTAATTCCTGAACCTGGAAGTAAAATATTGTTTGTAAATTATGAAAGATAAAAGCTGTTCGATATATCAGTATCTTGCTTACTGCATCTTTAAAATGGTCCTCCTTTGCTAAGGAGGTTTCTAAGACCAACAAATCTTCTTCCCGCGTAAGGGGGAACTTCAGTCCTTCATATCTAGAATAGATTGAAATTCGTTCTACAACTGAGCCGACTTTACGTGCTAATTTCAATTCCTTCATGTCGGCGGTTAAATCCATTAATAATCCGCGGATTAAATGATTTTGTTTTATCAATGTGTCTAGGTATACCGACTATACGTTTTTCATATATATATATATACATAGAATTATACGCACAACCATTTCATAAAGAAGAATAAAAAATCGGTATGCATCATATACGAATAACATATGTGTTATTGTCTCAAAGAAGGCATAATTACCTATTATTACTTTAGCCACTTTCGTGGTATAAAATTTCTTCTTCCCTTTCTTTCCCAACCAACTATACGTCATGGCTAAATCATTAGTGAGTAATGTTGTTAATACTCGTTTTACAAAATCGTAATTATTGCCACCTCCTACAGAAGTTAACTTTCCAAAAATGACTGATATCCCAACAAAAAGGCCAAGTACTGGCCTAAATTCTGTTGCTTTCCATTGTTTTAATTCACTTAATATTCGCAGTTTTCTATTAAATTCTAATGGTATGTACTTTGCTAGAGATACTAAGGAATTGGAGATGTTTGTAAACTGCAAGTTTGAAATTTTTGTGGATAAGTTTAAAAGTAACTTTTTCATGACACCCAAACAAATTAAGTGCATGTAATCTAATTGAAAAGAATCGATCATGTTAATACCCGGAATATTTTCTAAAATAGATGTACCCATATGATGGTCATCATCAACTTTCGATCTGAATCCTATATCAGTTCTTAATCGAATATTATTTAAAGTCGGAAAACGTACTCTATTATCAATAAAATCTCCTTCAATATGACATTTTGTACAAGAATAATAACCCGTATGACCTTTTATACATTTAATTGAAGATTTTGCAGGAGCATCACAAATGAATGAGTTTATGTGTAAAGAATATAAACGTTCATGAATTAAAAATCCGTCGTTAACTAGGTTTATTGCCTCTTCAACAAAATCACTTAAAAAGCTATTAATATTTTTTGGTTTTTGATAACCATGATAAATGCCAACCATTTCAACATTTTTATGTCCTCTAATACTACAAAGAATTGGATGCACTTGGCTACTGAAACTTTTCGACAATGGAAGACCGTCAATATTAATGTTAATTTCAATTTTATTGTCCTTAATAAAAGAAAAATCTATAAATTGAATGAGTTTTGAAATAGCATTTTTTAAACCAAAATGATAGTAATGCCCTGGTTCAATCTCTTTAGTAACTACCTCCCTACATGTTTTTAAAAGACTTTTGCCGTCTGTTGGCAAATTATCTGGTATGGGCTTTTGTAATATAGAAAGTAAATCATTGATAGCGACATGCGAAATATTGTGCTTTATAGCCCATTCTACTAAAACAACATAATTTCCTCTTGCCAGTCATGATTTAATAAATTCAGAAATTAAGAAAAATTAAGGAATTAAGTTAATTAAGAAAAAAGCGACACTTACCTGAGATGGCAGAAAAACTCGTCAAACACTATAAACACCAGTAAGGAATTCACACTGAAACTGTACGGAGACTCGCTACCCGTCTTGTCGCAACAACGTTTCACGAAAAAGTGTCGATGGTGACTCGTTATATTCCCAAGTTTTCCGGGATCTGTTTTCTGTTTAGGCCTTGTCATAAAACAGCAGGCCCCAAACTTCGGTCGTTCTCGCCGAGCGGGTGACGTACGGGTCATTTTACCCTATTTTGGACAACTGGTCAATTACTGGCTGCGCGGCCCACCGGGAGGAAGGGAAACATATTATTGCATCTAATTTTGTAAAACGAAAAACTACTTGATCTTCGAAATCCTCTGGTCGATTATCTATATATCGTTTAAATCATCATTCTGCCGGTTTCGAATTTGTTTAGAAATTACTAACCTTCGAAGTTTGCAATTTTTGCCCATTTTGACGAAAACAGGCTTCACTTACGAATTTTTATTTCAGGAACTCTTTGTCTGATTGAGCTATTTTTTCAACCTCGATAATTAACTTAATAATGTCGAAAAATGTCAACAAATTGAAAATTGGCGTCAGAATGAGCTGGAAAAGTACGCGATGTACCCCCGTTTCAGGTAGACGAGTTGTGCACTCCGAAATTATGATTAAAAAGGTGTTGTTGGCCAAGAATGGTTATTAATATAGTTTTCGAGGTATAAATGGGGTCATTTAGTCGTATACGAGGTCTGCTGGTATTGCTTTGAAATCTCCGGTATAGAAAATTGACCATAATAACGGAGCGCACGACTTACCTACTTACCTGAAACGAAGGTACATCACGTCCTTTTCCACCTCATTGTGACGCCAATTTTGAGTCCTGTTTTCACCCCCTTAGCATGGATGAATCGCATTGTACAAAAGAAAGGTTGGTGTGGAAATGGCTAGCAGGGTTTGTGGTAAGCAAATCAGCAAAATTAATTTCAAAAGCCGTATCCCATTAAATTTCAGCACCACATTTTTTTCCCCGTTGAGTTCTACCGACGACCGTAGTAATAAAGGGTACGCGCCATAAACTGGAGATTCGCACAAAGTCCTTAGAACATTCGTAAAACTTTAGAAAAGGGCGTTCTTAGGACATACGAAACATACGTCTCATCTATGTCTGTAGGACCTTCAAGACGGACGTTCCTAGGACATACGAAATATACGTCTTGTGGACATCCCAAGGATGTTCAAAATGGACGCTGGACGCTGGACGTTCGGACATAATCTGGACATGAAACGGACGTCCCTGGGATGTACGGTGCTATCTGCGATGTTTTATCATACCATGAACTAGGATTTTTTTGATTGGATGAAAAATGTCAATTTGGCATTAAAAAAACTACTATTTTTTTAGGCTAAATTCCAAACTTTTCTTCAAAACTTCGCCATTTTGTCAGATTCTTATATTTTTAAAAAATCTTAGTTCATGGTACGGAGAATACCTTTTAGTTTAACAGCGTTTTTGTTATTTTTCATTTTAAGCACTCAGGCGGTGGCAATCACTGCAGCAGTGGAGCAACTTTTTTTTTTGAGCCCTGGGAGATAGCGCATAAGTCGCTTGTTTCTTATTATTTTTGTACCAAAAAATTATTATAGATATATGATTTGTAACTAAATACATCCCAAAAGTTTAAAAACATTGGATGTAATATTTCTTTACAAAAAAATTCCCGAAAATCACCTAATTTTAGAGCGGTCACACTGGTGTACCGAGGTACCACTGTATTGCTATCGTAACATTCTTGTGTCATTTAGGTGTATGCGAAAAGTGTCGCAGTACATATAGCATACCGTTAGTTGGATGCGATAACTGAGGTGGCGCTTAAATCAGGTTCTGTTTGACCTAATTTTCGATGAAACGTTGACTGTTTTACCGACTCGGAATTCGGAGTTCGACCTCGACGCTCGCAATAAATTGGAATCATTGCAATTCAACTGTGTTGAAATGTGACTAATACTGCTATATTTAGATGCGATCATACAATATACGTCTATACATATACCTACGCAACGTTGTTAGAAGTGTAAGCAAGTTATTAAGGCTGTTGTATGTAATACTTGCATATAACTTAAGATTTGCGAGAAAAACTAATTTTAAAGTATAGGTAACAACGTATATGCATTTATGAACTATTTAAAAAAATGAAATAAGATTAAATATTACATAATCTGTTGCTTATTTATAATACATTAGTTAACTCCCATACATATTGTTCTTATATATTTTTTACTAATAATTTAATTCTTATTGTAAATGCTAAGTCTTGCTTATCAATCTAAGATGCTTGATAGTATATCATTTCATACTTATATAATTGTATACTAAATATCAAAGTCATTACAATTAAATGTAATAATCATTGTTATTTCATTGATGTTGTATTTTTTATTTCCTTAATTTTAGTTCTTATTATCTTTATTATCTTTATATCTTCTTATTTAATTAAATGTAATGATAAAGTACTATTGGTATTCTTATTTTATTTTTGCATGATATTTTGTATTATCAAACAAATTTCTGATACATAAATCTTTATTTACTTTTTGCAGAGATGTTGGAAGAATAAATGAACTGAAAAACAAAAAATTTATTTTCATATGTAACTCAAAGTTATATAAAATATTATAATAAATAAAATATTGAAAATTATCAATTATTTAATAAAATGGAAGGCAAATGTGAAGATGTTAAACCTTCTGAGTCCATTCAATGGCCGTACATGAGCATAAGTTCATTAGCTAGGTCATTTTTGAGCAAGTTGGCAACTGTCGGTATTATTTGGGGATGGGGATACTTAAATTTAAATATAGCTTGGTTAATTGCACCAATTGTTTTGATAACATGGAAAGCAGAGCATAGGAAAGACAATGAATTGAGAGTAATTATGGCTCAATCCACTGTGATGGCCAAAGAAAAAAGATTGATAATGGACCGATTAGATGAATTACCTTCTTGGGTTTATTTTCCTGATTTTGATAGAGTTGAATGGCTAAATAAAGTATGAAAACATAGAATTTATTAATTATACTTTATAGGAATTTTAATTAATTAATTTTCTTTATTTCTTAAGGTTTTATACAAAGTCTGGCCAAGCATTAATCAATTTGCTCGTGAACTTTGTAAGCAAACTATAGAACCTGCTATCATTGAGAAATTAGCGGAGTATAAAGTAAAAGGATTTCAGTTTGAAAGATTAGTTTTGGGTCGCATTGTAAGTTGATCTTGATATTTATTTATCAATATGATTATATATAGAATGACTAATTTATGTTCACATTTGTAGCCTTTAAAAATCTATGGAATTAAGGCATATGATAAAAACACTTCAAGAAACGAAGTCATTATAGATGCTGATATTATGTATGTATTAGCTGTTTCTATTAATATTCTTGGTTTTATAATATTTATTGCTTATCTAATTATTCTCGAATAATTTTATAGATATGCAGGTGATTGTGATATTACTTTTTCTGTTGGAAATATAAAGGGTGGTATTAAAGATTTTCAGGTAAATAATTTTAAATATATCTACCATTAGTATCTATTATTTTATAACTAACATTTGTAATTACCTTCTAGATTCGTGGAATGATGAGAATAGTTTTGAAACCGTTATTACCTGCTATGCCGTTAGTTGGAGGTATACAAGCATTTTTTCTAAATCCTCCTGCTATTAATTTCAATTTAATGGGAATAGCAGATGTCCTTGATTTACCGGGATTCAAGTAAGAAGAACTGAATACTAAATAAATTAATGTACGTTTTGAATATTTTATTAATCATGTATTTTTTTGTAGTGAGATTTTAAGAAAAACAATAGTGGAACAAATAGGAGCCTTCGTAGTATTACCAAATAAAATTGTTATACCGTTAAGTGAATCAGTACCAGTTGAATCGTTAAAAATACCAGAGCCTGAGGTAAATCATATTTATAAATATTCATTGGTGTAACTAGAATTTTCTTCTGGAGTGGACTTGGTTCCTTAGTTGAACTAACAGTATCAATTTTAAAGTTTTGGAATTCTGGAGAGGTGGGAAGGGAAGTCCTACCATGGGCCCTACTTAGTTACGCCAATGTAAACAGTCAGTAATTTAAATATCAGTGATGAATTAGTTCTTTATTTTGTAGGGTGTTTTAAGAATTCATGTAGTAGAAGCAAAGCATCTAATGAAGAAAGATATCGGAGTATTGGGTAAGGGTAAATCTGATCCATACGCTATTATAAATATTGGAGCGCAAGAATTCAGAACAAAAACTATAGATAATACTGTAAATCCAAAATGGGATTTTTGGTGCGAGGTATGTACAATTTTCATTTAGTGGAAATTAAACATTTATTGCATGCTCTTGTCTGCAATTTTTTTCTAAGTCTCACAAAAATTTTCAAGCACAGCATTTTTTACATGGTAAGAAATAATTTTTTAAATATATGAAAACACGATTTAGTGAATATGGAGTATTTTAAAACATTACATTATTTCGTTTCATTTTGCAATTTAGCTCCATAATTTTGTCATTATATTACACCCATTATCTTATTATTTTTCTATGCGTTTATACACACTTATAAGATGTTGCTGATCTAACATTTTAGTAACTTAATATATTGTAGTAAATCAGTGAATTGTTCCCATATTCTTTATATAAATTACTATATATCTTGCTTATGAAAATGCAAAATAGTTACTATTTCGAACATATAGATTGGAAGCATCTTAATTTATACTAATCTAGTTTCATAGTTCAATGCATATGTATGTATGTTACGTGTGATGTGTTATGTGGGACTAGTGTGCTGTGATGTCAGCCATTGCTCAACAAATTACTGTGCTGCTGTGGGACTATGATGATACTAAGGGTGACGAAAGTCTTGGAAGGTATAAACATATAGTATTTTATTTTTGTAAATTTTGTATTAAAGGTAAAGTACATTATTAAAATTTTAATATTACGATACTCTTCTGATTATCCGGTGGACTGTTATAAAATCTGAGCGGCATTATCTGCAAAAAAGTGAACAGGGGGAGAAACAAATGTCTTTGTTGTCGTATTTTAAATAAAATAAAAATTTTTTAATTTTTGTTTTTTTCTCAAAACAGAGAGACTTGTAAATACCTGTTTTTCCAGGTCCTTTTTCCTCTGCCGGATAACCGAGAATCTGTTGTGCTTTTATTTAAAGAAATTTTAAAATAATTAAAACCTGATCTATGTTATATTAATTAAATAATTATTTTCCACATGTTTTCATAATGTATTTTTATCTATAATACATATAAAAAATATGACTGTTAATTATATAAAATAAGGGCATGTTTGTGCCATATTAGTTTAGAGTTTTTTTATTACATTTGGTTTGTGAGTGGTGTTTGAAGTTTGAGTGCCTTATTTCATTGTGTCAGCAATCATTTAGTGCTTTAAAAAATATGATAACATAACCATACGTAATACTAAATGTTCTAGTATTAAAGTAAAATTGAAATTTGGTTTTTAATTCTTGAATAATCGATTCAGTATACATATATCTATACAATCTATACACACAGAGCGTCCTAAATCTAACTTACAGTACCGAGTATAATAGGCTTCCTTAGGGAAATTGACGATATAAAGAAGGTCAATTTGAAAATTACCAGGTATTATGAATACATTTTTCTACACATAAGAATATTAAAGATTTAAATAATACATAAATAATTAAAGAGAAAAATAATTCGTCAAATCATAATTTAGATGATATTAATATTAAAACTAATTCAAAAAGGGTTAACATAATTTCTAATATATTTCTATTGTATATTTAATAAATAAATTCAAATTCAAAGTTTTAAGTTTTAAATTTTAGCCGATACTCGGTTATGGACGAAACCAAATTAGTGCATCGGTTGACTCTTTTGGTTACCGAATCTGTAGTTTTACAAGTTTCAGCATAAATTATGTGATATTTCACTGAGAAAGGATAACACTTCTGGCAGATGAAAAGGAACAAAATGATATTTTGATTGCCTAGCTCCCTTCAATTTATGATAGAACATCTTTACAAATTTAAAAATTATATCTCGAAATGGTAATATTTTTTGTTTTTGTTTAAATGTCCATTGTATGCGTTATGCTTGATAAACTAATACATAGAAATTTTTTTCAATGCAGCTTATTATTACAATATATCATTAAAAATTGAACAAATTCAGAATAGTTATGTAGTTATAATGTATATTATAAGTAGTGTATAATAATAGCAGAAATGATGAATTTTCATTTACTGCCATTTTTCTATGTCAGCCTAGTGTAATATAGATGTTTATATTAATGTAATGTTCAATAATATATAACATATAGTTTAAATTGTTAATGATGTGCTATATATGTATATAATTTGTGTACATGCACATATAGTAAAAGTAGGATAACTATCCGAAAATCGAAACCGAAACCGGGCAGTTATGAAGCGATGACTTTTTGGTTCTTATTGTTAGAAACGACTCGGCCAAACATTTGAATGTTGCTGAACTTAGAAAAGAACAGATAGCGAAAGAGAAATAGGTATGAGAATCAAAAGAACGGAGAAAAACATATTGGTGAGACAATACTAATTAAACAATAAAACGTTTTTATTTTTTAGTTTTGCAAAACGAAACTTTTACCAGTATGATTGTGAGGTTTTTCTAATTTAAATAAGACAAAACACGATATAATTTTGTAATATACATGTAATTTTGTTGGCTGTGATTACAAACGCTTCTTGATTTTCGCTTACTGACTCTCGCTTATTGACTTTCGCTTACTGATTTTTCATGCCTGATGCAATCACCTTCTTTTATATCTCTTGTAATCGCGCGACGTGCGTCTCGTGCTTGCTACTCCGCGTTGCCGAAATAGACCCGCGAGCTAGGACCTGGCGACACCTGCTTGATGGCAATACTCTTTTAAATTAATTACCACAATTTGAAGCATATTTACTTATTTAACTAGTAATGTTTTTTCGCCTATTTAAGCCTTTTTCTATTATAAGGTAATAAGTAAATATGGTTCAAATTATATCGTGTTTGGTCTTGTTTTAATCAAATGAATCTCACAATTACATTAGTAAAAGTTTCATCGAAAAAAAAAATGAAAAATCAAAAAGTTTTGTTGTTGCATTAGTATTGTTTCATCGATATTTCAGTTCAGATCAGGTTACACTATTTCAGCTTTGCAGTTCTTCAAGTTTTTATCATTAGAGTAGAGAAAGGAAGAAGAAAAGAGAGAAAATAGAAGAAATGGGAGAAAGAGAAGAGGAAAAGTAATTGTAGTGAAAGTACACTAGTTGACTATTTAATTTGACTATTTGTTAACTGTTTGACGTAAGCAGATTCACTGGGTGTTTCCTTTTCAGTCTTCTAGATAGGCTTGAATAGCAGTTGTTGGCAAGCTGGTTTTTATCAGTTTTCATTCTTTGCAGGTGAGCTGTTGAGTATTTCCTTATTTCCTCTTCCACAGTAAGGATTTTTAATAATTTGCTTATGTCGTCGTTCCTTACATACCATGGTGCGTTTATGGTACTTCTTAGGATGACCGATTGCACATTTTCTATTTTTTTCCTGTGGGATTTGGCGGTCATGCCCCAGATTTGAATTCCGTATGTCCATATGGGTTTGATGATTGATTTATAGATTTGTAGTTTACTGAATGCATTCAATTTGGAATTTTTGTTTATAAGCCAATTCATGGATTTTTTGATAGTCCTTATGTGTTTGATTTTTTCTTGAACATGCACCTTCCAGTTTAATTTACTATCTAAGTGCAGACCAAGGTATTTGTCTACGTTAGTTTGAGGTAATTCTGTGTTGTGAATATGGATTTTAGAAGATGGTTTTTTATTAAGAGTGTAAGTGATATGTGAGCATTTTGTTGAGTTGATTGTAATTTTTTTGTCTACGGTCTAGGCTTCGATTTGTTTTAAATGGTTTTGTGGATTTGATGTTGCAGTTTCTATATTTTTGTGTACGGATAAAATAGCAGTGTCGTCCGCGAATGTAAATAATTAAGTATGGGGAGAGGTTGGCATGTCCGCCGCATATATGAAATAGAATATGGGTCCCAACACACTTCCCTGCGATACGCTAGCATCTTTAGGGTGGATGTTACACTTTTGAGCCGAACATAGAAATACCTATTTGAGAGATATGAGGCGATAATTAAGAATAAATTATTCGATAGCGTTGCTTTTAGTTTAGTTAGAAGTCCCTCATGTCAAACTTTGTCAAAAGCTTTTTCCACGTCCAGGAAAGCTGCGGTACAATATTTACCTTCCTCCATAGAACCAATTATGCTATTTATCATTCTGTGGATTTGTTCGATTGTATTGTGGTTTCTTCAGAATCCGAATTGATAGTCTGAAATCATTCTTTTATCGTCAATTTCTTTCATTATTCTATTGTGAATAATTTTCTCTATTCCTTTGGAGATTATCGGAAGGAGTGATATGGGTCTGTAGGAGGATGGCATTTTTGGATCCTTACCAGGTTTTTGCAGCGGTATAATTTCTGCGCATTTCCAGATTTGTGGGAAATATCCTAATCTAAAGATGGCGTTAGTCAAGATAGTTATATTTCTTTTAGTGCTTTAGCTGGCAGTTCCTTAAGCATTTTAACTGTGATGAGATCGTATCTTGGAGTTTTGTTGTTGTTTAGGGCCTTAATTGTTGCAATAATTTTTGCTTTTCTCACTCTTTTGTAATTAGTGCGACTGTTGTCTGGATTGGGTTGAGAATGTGGTGTATATGCGTTCTTGAATGTTTCTTTGTAGTATTCTGCTAGAGTCTCTGTTTGATCTTCGACAGATTTAGTCCAACTCCTGTCCTGTTTTTGTATCGGCAGAATTGATAAGATTGGTTTTTTATTCTTTTTGTACATTTCCATAGGGAATGGTTCGATATTGCAGTATGGTCTAGATTTAAGATATATTTCACGAAGTTGTTGTTGTTGTTTGTAATACTAATGTTAGGGTTTTTAAAAGAAACGACACAAATGTTTGAATATATACGTTTACTTAAGCTAACATTACAAACTAGTAAGTGAAAATGATGTAACATAAAAGAAAAAAGGAATCTAAGACTATAACATGGCGTTCGTGGCGAGAATAAAACGGGCTATACAGAATAGGGAAAAACAAAAGATGCCCCATCTGACAGTTCACACATCTGCGGAACTATAAGAGCATCCGCAGACTGCAGACTTTCTATCGGCCGATAGTTTGGTCGGGTTCTTAATCAGTATGAAGATGTATGCAAGTGCGCATATTACAACGATTCGGTATCGGCTGATAAATAAGTTTGATGGGCTACACGATTACATTGAAACTAAACTATCCAACTCTTTCCACCCTGTTTCTTCTTTCACCAACCCGAGTATTTAGTTGGCCCAGTGTGCGCGTTAACAGGCCAACTCGACCAAACTATCGGCCGATAGAAAGTCTGCAGTCTGCGGGGGCTCTAAAAATTCCTAACTATGTTTCCAAGCGTGCCAACTTGGATGTGCCGAACAACCCTTCAATTATATAACAGTCGTGGGCTATTTTCTTCAGTCCCTTGGTCATCCTATCTGCTAAGTTCTCATTTGAAGGAACGTACGTTAGGTTGATTAATCCCTCTTCTAATTTCTCTCTTACGATGTGATATGCAATATCAATATGCTTCGTCCTACTGTTCTCAATTCTACTCTTGGCGAAGTCAATCGCTGCCCGGTTGTCACAGTTAATCTGCAAAGGACTCGAAAAATAATCTGTTAGCTTTAATTCAGACAAAAGCATATTCAACCATATGGTCTCTTTAACTCCATCCGCCAAGGATACGTATTCCGCTTCCATTGTAGAGGTCGATAAAGATTTCTGCTTGACTGAC